AAATATCAGAAGTCACTTTTTTTTATCCACAAAAAAAGTTTATGTTATGATTTATAAAAAAGCTCTTTTAAGTGTGAAGGGATGGTCGCTGGGAGGAGGTAACTATGGGGAGGAAGTGGGAGGGGAGCTGCTGCATTGTAAATTTTGGTCAATGACATGAGACAAAGTATATTATGTGAACTGCTGTATGGAAAGTGAATTTACTCTGTAAATCTTCACCCAAATCCTAATAAAATTTAAAAAAAATTTTAAAAAAAAGAGAGAGCATCTGAGGGCTGAGCCGCACGTCACTGCTACCCGCGTACGTCAGCAGCAAAGTCTGCTGCTCCTGTAGGAGGCCGTCAGTCCTGGGGAGCTGTGATCCTCACCCCCTCCAGCTCCTGGTGCCCCTCAGGTTACCGCTGGGAATTAAATGCACGGTTGTCATCAGCGTGGACACATCTGCTCCACAACCTGGAGCTCCCCACACCACCCACTCCAGAGGCCCGGTCACTCCCAGCCGACAGCAGCTTCGTGCATTTATTCAGGGCCCTACAAGATCTCCTGAGCGCCATGACGCAGCCCATGCAGAGGGCTTTATGACATGTGCATGGCAGAGCAGGCACGTGTGGTTTCTCACTGCTGTTAGGTGCTGCCGAGTGGTGCCAAGTCACGGTAGCCTCAGGCGTAACAGAGACTGCCAGGTGCCATCCTCACAACAGTTGGCATTTGGGCCCATGGTTGCACCCACTCCTTGGGAAATGACCCAGGAAATCTAAGTTCATTGAAAACAATTTTACTTTTAACTCTCAAATTGGAGATATTAATGTCTGGGCCAGAGCAGGTCTTGACACAGTTACACGGGTTCACAGCATCTCCATACCCGCCGGCAGCTAAGCCTTTCAGAACACACGTACCCCCGCCTGGCTCCTTGCCCATTCATTGCTCCAGCAGACGCACTGGCAGGGAAGGCTCAAGTGGCCTGCCACGCAGGGTCAAGGGCCACAAGTTGGAGGGAGGTCACACTCCACTGCGGGGACCCCCCTTTAGCCCAACCCCACCAGGTAAGCAACCTGGAGAGGGTTCTAGCATATGGCAGGACCTCACACTGAACCACGTTCTGTGCTAAAAGCAAAGAGGGGCCATGCTTCCCTCCAAGGCCGGAGAACGGGATCATCTGAGGCAATCACAATGCTCATTTGGGGCCTATTTTAGGAACCACTAATCTCTGTCCAAAGGCACTCTGGTGGCACAGTGGGTAAAGCTTTTGGCTGCTAACCATAAGGTTGGTGGTTCAAACCCACCAGTTGCTCCACAGGAGAAAGATGAGCCAATCTACTGCCGTGAAGATTTACACCCTCGGAAACCCAATGGGGATTGCTGTGAGTTGGAACTGACTCGATGGCAGTGGGTTTGGTTTGTTTGGCTTGGCGACCCCTGTCCAGAAGCTCTGGTACTGCAGTGGTTAAAGCACTCAGCTGCTAACCAAAAGGTCAGTGGTTTGAACCCAGCAACTGCTCTGCAGGACAAAGATGAAGCAGTCTGCTTTCCCTAACGATTACAGCCTTGGAAACCCTATGGGACAGTTCCACTCTGACCTCTAGGGTCAATATGAGTTGGAATCAACTTGACAGTAGTGGGTTTGTTTTTTGAGTCTCTGGAGTGACTGGAAAGTGTGTGTTCACTCTCTGGCCTCCTCTCAGCTTTCAAATCCTGAGGGCTCCTGACTGAAGCCCCTTGGACTGAGCTGACACCCTGGTGGACTTAGCTGATGTTCAGCTGTTTCCTTAGTAAACAGGGGTGGCAATGAGCCCACAGAAGTGGTGTCATTTTGGGGGGGCTTCCAGGGGCCCTCACTGCCACAGCACAAGACTGCTTGTTAGGCATCCGCCATTCCTCCATGAGGCAACTCACGCCCTGTTAGAAACAAGGCCACTGGAGGCCATAGCAGACAGGTGGGGTTCAAATGAGTTCTGTGAGCAGTCCCCACCGAGGGGCCACCTCTGTGGAAACAAGACCAGTGCACTGGCAGGGAGACACAGCTCAGGGGGCAGGAACGCATAGGAAAGAAGGACACGGGGAAGGGGTAACTACAGGGAGGAAGTGGGAAGAGAGCTGTTACACTGTGGAAAAGTGCCGGCACTATCATGATACAAATTCTGTATGAACTGCCGTGTGGAAAATGAATCTGCTCTGTACGCTTTCGCACAAATCACAATAAAAATTTAAAAAGACCAGTGCACCAGGTGAGCTGTCCCCGCCGAGGGGCCACCTCTGTGGGAACAAAACCAGTGCACTGGCCCAGCATCTTAGCTGTTAGCTGCCACCAAGGCGACTCCAACTCACCGTGACCCTACCTGGTAAACGTGAAGACGCTTTGCGTTTTAGTGAAGATCAGCCAATGATGTGGGATGGGAAGGTGGCGGTCTAGAGGGCGCCATGTCTGGAGGGTGGTGTAACACCGTCAGGAAAGGGCTGAGATGAACAGGAGGGCAACCCCATGCAGCACTGTATGTATTTACAAATGACCAAACACTGAGAAAACCAGGTAGCTTTTTCCTCTTAGGGAGAATAAAATAAACACCAAGAGTCACAGTTTTAAAAGTATATAACAGATCTGCTGTTTTTTATTTACAATCAAGTGCGCTGGGCGACATAAATAAATAAGAGACGCGCCCTGCTGTGTCAGCTCCCTCCACACCCACTCCTGCAGCGCCGGCCACAGAGGCGCTGGACGCGCGAGGGACAGAGGCATCCTTGTCAGAGGGGCCTCGGCTCCCCACCCCCACCATCCAGAACCCAAGTGTGGAGGGAAACAAAAATAAAGTGCAAATTAAAATGTGACACAACCAGTGGTGCTCGGACACCCACACGAAGAACCAGAGTCCACACAGCTGAGACGGCAAAGACGACCCCATGGGCCGAGCTCCCCGCAGTCTCCACCACCACCCCGTGGCCAGGCCCTACCACTCGAGTGACACTTCAGGCCTAAGACTCCACGGCTGTAATTCAGACCCACCCACAAGGAACCGCAGATTCACCTAGAACGTTCTTTCTCTCTGCAGCACCCACACTTCCTCCCTCCTCTCCCTTCCTCTTTATTTTAGATCAAATTGAGATTCACTCCTCCAGCAAGACACCAGTGGGTGGAACCGTTTGTGGGGGCAGGCAAGGGGGTCAGAGGCTCTGAAGAAAAGGTGTTTCTCCAACCATAGTCTATAAAACCTCCAAGCTTCAGCAGTAACATGACAAGGGCCGAACCAGAGCCAGACCACGGAGGTGATGGCCGTCCCTCCTCGGAGAGCGGAACATCCCTGTGCTTTGGGCTTGTGGACGCCCAGTGTTAAAGCCAGTTCACGGGAAAAGTGACCCTGAGGGGACAGGAGGAAGCACGGACGGACCCCAGCCGGGGCGCTTTGGCACTACACTCCAGCGCTGGCAGGCGCCTGGGCTCTGCCCGGTGAGGTACAGGGCACAGGGCCAGTAGTGTTCCCCAGCAGCCACGGACAAGAGCCTGCCCCAGGGGATCGGCCTGTGGGCCCCAGGCCTCGGCGAGGCTCTCAGGCCAAGAGCCGCAGCTGCCATCCCTGGCAACCCTCTCTGAGTGAGGCCCCTGGGCCGGACTGCACAGCCACTGCCGGCGGCAATCAAGGCTGCGCCCCAGGCCACGGCCCGCGCAGCCGGTGGAGCGTACCTCCCTCCTCCTGAGACGGGCGCCCAGCGCTGGCATCTGTCAGTACTCCGCCCACAGCACAGCCTTGCTGCCTTTGTCCACGCTGACGACGTGGGAACCGGACGGGGCCCAGGCCACGGCATTGATGGAGGAGCTTTAAGTGAAGACACAACCGTGGGCTGAGCTCAGACGTGGGCAGCAGGCTCCCCACCCCTGGCTGGCCTCCGCCACCTCTCTGTCCAGTGACTCGCTCGCTCACAGGCAGGAGCCTGGAAGCAGCCTGAGCTCTGCTTCATCAAGCAGTAACGGCTACTCCTCTGGAAGCCGGATCTTAGCAAGTTTACCCCGGGAGCAGCTCAGATGCCCGAGGGGACCCAGGGTCTGCGTTCCAACCAGCTGCTGGGTTTGGATGGGCAGGACACGGCTAAGGACTATGGAGACGGAGGGCTCTCCGTCAGACGGATGAGAAAGCGGCGTGTGAGAATCCGCGATTACCAGTCAACTCACTGACAGGAGCAGCTCACCAGGGAGGCAGGGGGAGCTGCTGGGACGGGGAAGGACGAGGGGGGCAGGGGAGGGGCAGGCAGAGCATGTGCAGGACAAGAGGAGACGGACGGAGGAGGATGTGCTTCTCCACAGCAACTGTGCTCTGGCCAGACTGTGGCAGAAAATAAGCAAAAAGGACTGTCTGCACAGAAAACCCCAGAAGAGGCCCACACGAACGGTGCTGTGCCCAGGCTCTGAGGGGCTGGTGGGACCCACATACCTGTGTTGCTTGGACAGGACCTTCTCCACCTTGCCCGTGAGCACACTCCAGACGTAGAGAGAGCCCTCAGCCGAGCCGGCTGTCACGAAGCTGCCATCAGGGCTGGAGGAGACAGTGAAAGAAGCCATCAATCTCTGCTCAGCGTCCCCACGGCCTTTCCTGAGAAGTAATCCTGGTCTCCGTTTATGAGTCAAACACGGGATCATCTCCCATGCACCCAGAAATCGGAACACACGGTTCATCTTTAAGGCCAAGTGCATCTCAGCCTGTGGCCTTAGACTCAGGGTCTGATGGCTGCGCTGCCGTGGCCACCCTCAATGGCTAAGCGTTCCTGTAGTCAGATGCTTTGTCACATGGTTCCAGGTGAGGACAGCAAAGCAACTCAGGAGACTGCTCGGTGCAACCAGCCCCGGTGCTCACCAGCCTCGCCCACCTGCCCATCCTGAGAGCGCTCCCCCAGTTCCTATGGGAACAGCTGAATGAGAGGAGAGGCCGCTCCCCAGAACCAAGCAACCAGCCAGCTGCTGTCTCCGGTACCACCACTAATTCACACATAAGCCAAGAAGGAAGCTGCAAAGACTGAGGGCAACCCCTAGTATAGGACTCACTCCTGGACAGCTGCTGGGACGCTACAAACTTCGGGCCTGGAGGTGAACCAGGCAGGGGCATCACTCCTTACCTGAACACGGCTCTGGTCCAGTCTGAGCTGCACTTGAAGCCAGGGGCACTGAAAACAACAGCAGGTACCACGGTCCAGCCGGCTCGCTTGCACACCTGGGCCTCCACGCTCACACACGCGAACAGCACAGCTTCTGTTACCTGAATGACTGCTTAACGGCATTTTTCCGCAGGTCGATAATCTTCAGCAGGTCATCCCGGGAACAGGTTAGGAGCTCAGTGCGTTCTGGGTTCAAGTCCAGGGCAGTCACCTTTCCCAGCAGCTCCATCTCTCGGACGATACTCTCTGATCTGAGAGAGAGGTGGCAATGATGAGGAAACATAGCTTACGAGGGTCAGAATGTCTCCACTTCAAATTGAATGTCAGGCCACAAGGGAAACAGGCAAGTTCCCCGACCGCAGACAGACAAGCTGAGACGGCTCTGGTACCTTCCCTTAATCGAGCCCATGAAGTTTTGAGGGCAAGGAATCTGAGTTTCTTAAGAGCCCTTTTCTGTCCCTTGTCCACTTCTGGAAGGACAAACAGTCACCAGCGGGGCATGTGATCAGCACGAGCCAGCCAGGGCCACGCCCCAGGTGGCACCGTTTCTCCCACTCGTCTCATCCATGCTTGCCTCTCCCAGGCTGTGGCCAGCCCGTCAGCTTGCTCCACTGCCCTGGGTTTTTCCATCATGGGACACTGCCTCATCTCTACTCTGTGACACCTGGACAAGTCACCGATCTCGTCAGCACCTGGCACACCACGACTGCGTGTTCACTGTCCCGACTGCAGTTCACACTAACAGGAAGAGCCTCTGCCTTCTGTTTCCCTGGCAGCTGGGACAGCGCCCAGCACACAGTACACTTGGTAACTGCTGGGCTCCTTCACGGCAAAGGACGCCTACCAGAGCGTATCCCTGCCCTTTCCAGGTGTCAAAGCCACACCTTGGACACCAAACTCCAGCACACACAGACCTGCTCATCTGCCCCACCGAGCTCTCGTGGGTCGTACCGGATGTCCCAGAAACGAATTTTCTTGTCGAAATGTCCGCTCATGACACACTGCTCCGTGCAGACAATATCGTTGCAGCTGGATCCTGCAAACACTGTCTTTATGCCTGAAAGCCAAGCCAACACCCGAGTCAAGCAGAGGCCACGGGGCTGTGTGCACAGCCCCGCTGCCCTCCAACCACCAAGCAAACTGGGTTCCTAACAGGACTGAAGCCTCAGACCCGAAAAACGCTGCTACCTCAGCCCCACTCTGAATACAGAAATGGACTTGAATCGTGGGCTGCCTGGCATCCCATGCAGGCTTAACCAGTGCCCGTCCAGCATATGTGCAGAGACAGGGTGGTGCCCATCTAGCACGTACGAACCGAGAGGGCAGTGCCCACCTGGCAGGTATACAGAGAGGGCGGTGCTTGTCCCAGGCATACGGACCGAGAGGGTGGTGCCCACCAAGCACACATATACAGAGAGGGCAGTGCCCATACAGCCGTGGAGACAGAAAGGGCAGTACCCCTCTAGCATGTATGGACCAAGAGTGGTGCCCATCTAACACTTATGTATAGGCAGAGAAGGCGGTGCCCATCCAGCGCACATATACAGAGAGAGTGGTGCCCATATAGCCGTGGAGACAGAGGGCAGTACCCATCTAGCATGTATGGACCGAGAGTGGTGCCCATCTAGTGTACATATAGAGAGGAAGGTGCCCGCCTAGTGCCTATGGACAGACAGAGAGGGCAGTGCCCGTCCCAGGCATAGGGACCGAGAGGGTGGTGCCCATCCAGTGCGCATGTACAGAGAGGGCGGTGCCTATATAGCCATGGAGACAGAGAGGGCAGTGTCTGTCCCAAGCATAGGGACCAAGAGGGCGGAGCCCATCTAGCACGCATGTACAGACAGAGAGGGCATCTCCTCACAGACTTTGCTGCGAAGGTCCCAGAGTTTCAGGGTACGGTCGTGGCTTCCTGAGACGATGCGTGCGTTGTCGAGAAGGAACTTGGCAGACAGGACTTTCCCACTGTGTCCCGTGAGCGTGTGCTAGGAGAGAACACAGCCACAGTGTCAACCACGGGCCCATCCACCATGGGCACACCACCTGCTCACCATGCCGGGGGAGACTGGCGGCCCTCTGCTGAGTCAGGTCCCCAAACACAGGAGACGCAACCAGAGCAGTCAGACACGAGGAGGAGGAGGAGGAGGTGGAGGAGGAGGACGACCAAAGGGCAGAGGGCTGGGGGCCCGCGCGGCTTCCAGGCGGCTCTGCAGACATGGCGGCTGCATCGCGTGGAGCAGTGTGGCTGGCAGCACCCCTTCTGCCAGCTCAGCAGCTGGGGCCTCCCAGAGACCTGCCTTCAGGTGCTGCCCGGAGCCGAGGTGTCAAGACCAAGATACATCTCCCATTGAAAATGCCATTTACAGAACCTAACACCATTAACACCAAACCTCACCCACCTTCCATGCTCAAAAAGAGTGAACTGGGTGGAGGACCCATTCAGGATTTTAAATAAGCTGTTTCAGACCTGCCTGGACTGTCCTGCAACTGTTTTTGGGGGGATTATGTAAAAAAAAAAAAAAATTAAAGCTGAATTTTTCTCCTAGCACCTGTGAAGTCCGCAGGCTGGGCAGGGCCACTGCAGGCCTGGCTCACAAGGAAAACTGTGAGTTCTTCCGTGAACTAAGGCCTGCAGGGTTTCCAGTCAGAGGCCTCAGCTTGAAAATGACAATCACCACAGACCCCGGTGCTGCCAGCATCCAAGTCCCTTTGTCACTGAGCTGTCGGTGCCAACCATGGAGTCTCCCAGGGCTCGCCAGGGACACAGGACAGGCCATGATTGGGTGTCAGCTGCCCTGAGCCCATCTTGGCACAACTAGACGGGCAGGGGGTAGGGGACAGGGGTCTGGGTGGCCACACCTTTTACCACTCATCATGGACCTCTTTTCAACAGGTGGTCAAAACTGTTGTTCTTGAAATCCCAACGGCTCAGGAAGTATCCACTCGTGTTTTCTGATTTTAAAAAAGACCCTACGAATACTTGTTACAACTGCCAACTTACTGGGCTAAGATAAAACCCCACAGGTTTATCCAGATTCTAAGGTCAGTCTTTCCTCTGTCAGTGGATGGGCTCCACAGGAAGGGCACTCAGGCCCCACCCTTCGCTCTTCAGAGGGAGACAGGTACGTGGGTCCCAGGAGCTGGCCTCTCGCGACGGCTGCCACCAGGGGGCAGCTGCGTACCACCATGCGTCCGGAAGAATCAACACCCAGCACACAGCTCGCAGTGCGCACAGTAAGTCACCGCACAGCAAGTCACCGTCTGTGAGTCGCTGGGAGAGACCGAGCTTGGACAGGCTCCTCCCGTCGCATGTGCTGTCAGTAAATAACGAGCACATCAAATCTCCCACGGCTGTGCGCGCGCTGCTTGCCACATTTCACAAGTGTGAGCATCACTCCTAACCACGCTGGACAAGCACACTCATTTCTGTGGATTTAAACGTGTGTGATGATCACGTTCCCAATTACACGTGTCCTAGTAACTTACCCACAGCTGTTTGAACGCTGTGCCCCAAGCAGTATCCATGCAAGTCGCTCTGTGGGGCGACGCCACTTGGTTCCTGACCCCCTGGGCCCTGTGCAACCAGCACCATCCCTCCTTACACAGCTGCAGCAGACTCCACGAAGGAGCTCATTTCCGGGCAGCCGATGGCACGGCCTACCTCCTGCAGCCCCTTCCCCGAGTGTCGTCATGATCACTCAGTGGCTAAACAAGCTCCCGGGGTGAGATGAGGGCGTCATGGGAGCCTCCGTGGTCATCAGACAGCTCGGTCACTCCAAGTGTCATCGTCAACGAGGCTGCTCCGTGGACGGCGAAGCACAGCTTTGAACCCCGAGCTGTCCCAGGAATGACACTGCCTCTCTCCTCCTCCCCATGCCCAGCAGCAGCTGGACCCGCTGGCTGACGCGGCTCCTCCAAGGATCTGTGTCTGTCACTTCGAGCGGGACGTACTGATGAGAGTCCTCCACTCAGTCAGCATCCTGACCCTTGGTGCTAGTACATTATAGCTCACCTTCTGGGTTCTATCTCCTCCTTTTAAACAGGAGGGCAGTGGGTGCAGATGTCGCAGCACCTGACCCCAACTGGGGAGGCCAGCTCAGCAGAGAAGCTGAAGATACTGCCCAGGGCTTGAGTTACGCCCATGGATGCTTCAGGACACAGACAATGGTCCCTTCGTGTCTGTCCTTTAACATCCTCTGCTAAGTGGGCCTGAGGTAGAACCCAGAGCCCTGTAACAGGGAGCCTCTCACGCCGACTCTAAGCCTTTCATGAGAGCCTTCTGGGTAGAGAACCCACAGGAAGGGCCTCTTGAACTTAGACACTGACTTCAGGACCAAGAGCAGGCAGGGTGGAGGCCTTAAGAAAGCTAACATGCCCAGCACAGGGGACCCAGCTAGGCAGCCATCACTGCCTCCCAGGCAGCCGCAACAGCCCCAACAGTGCAAACCCCAATGGCGTGCTGAGTACCCTCACCAATGACTCTGGCCCACCTATGCCACCTAGTTCACCTGAAAGTTTCCAACACGGTGACCTGTCTTCCAGGGCTGCCCCTGCCCCTAGGTCCCCTTCTTGCTATTTCTAACCCACGTGAACAGAGCTCCTCTGTAACTAAAGAGCATCTCCCTGCGTATGCAGCAGCCTCCCCCCCCCCCGGCTCCCCGGCTCCCCAGAGGGACTGAAGTGTGGAAGGCTGTGCACCCCCACCCTCAACAACTGCTCAGCCCCACAGAGTCTCAGTCCAGGTAAGCCAGGCCCGTCCAACCGGGCAGAGCACGGGCTCTGGGCTTTAGGCCTCAACTCAGCCTCCAGCTCATTCTGCATTCCGTGACTGCAGGCAATTTATCTGGTTCCGTGGGCTCCAGTTTCCTCATCTCCCCACAGTACCTGGTGTTATGGATTGAACTGTGTACACCCAAAATATGAGCTGTAACTCCTAACCCCTACACCTGTGGCTGAAGGAGCCCTAGTGGTACAATGGTTAAGTACTCAGCTGCTAACTGAAAGGTCAGTGGTTAGAACCCACCAGCTACTCTGCAAGGGAAAGACTTGATCTGCTCCCATAGAGATTAGAAAACCGAATCCACTGCCATCAGGCTGGTTCTGACTCAGCAGAGTGACCCTACAGGACAGCAGAACTGCCCCAGGGGTCCCCAGGCTGCCACCTTTACAGAAGCAGACGGCCACACCGTCCGCCTTGAAGTAACTGGAGGGCTCCCCCCACCGACTCTTTAGTCCAGAGACGACAGCCAGGACACCCCCAGGACAGTCCCACTCTGCCCCACAGGGCTGCTCTGAGGCAACATCAACTCCACAGCACACAATGACCAGGCTATAATCCCATCCGGGAATGAGTTTTCTCCGTTGTCTTAACAGGTCGTATGGTGCAGGGTGAGTTTTAAGCCAATCACCTTTGACACCTCCTCAGAGCAGATGAGGACAGAGAATCAAGCACTGAGAGATGCCACCTGAAGATCAGACGGACAGAAGTGGAGAGGCGATGAGGACCTTCCTCCAGAGCTAAGGAGCCTTTGGACTGCTGGCTTGCTGAACTGTGAGAGGTACGTTTCTTGGTTACAGCCATCACTCTCGGTATTCGGAGTCGCTCTGGGGGCCCTGGGGGAAGGTCCCCGTCTCTCTGAGCTCTGTTCCTACGTGACCTTCCTGTGGCTTGGCATCTCCCCACTTCTCGCCTTTGCTTGTTCAATCTCTATCTCAAAAGAGACTGACTCAAGACACACCCTGCACTTATCCTGCCACCTCACAAAGACACCCTATCCCCAAACAGGAAATGTAACCACAGGCACAGAGCTTAGGACTCACAACACCACTTTGAGGGACACAACTCAGTCCTCAACACCCACCTAATGGACCATGCTACTCCGGCTCCCCACCACCCTACAGATTTCCCCAGAAGAACAAGGTCACCTTAACGTTACACCCTATTTTTGAACCCCGTTTTTGAGTGGGCTAACACACACAACTTGTATCGACCTTTTTTTTAAATGCCTACCAAGGTCAAAGTGGCTCTCCATTGTCTCACTCACTCGTCTGTACTTAACGAGCTGATATGAAAATTTCTTTAAGCCTAAAAGGAGAAAAAGCTGTCTCCAAACTAAGTGGAGTCCTTTTCACAACAGAAGCGGTATGTAACGACCAGTTCTGGTCTCTCCCTTGGACGCCAAGAGACTTTAGCTCTTGGAGGCAACGTGGGCTCAACTCAGCACTGGACCCCACTGTCACCGTCCGCTTCACCCGCTTCTGGCCCTCCGGGGTCAGTTTTCAGAACCGCTTACGTTCGTCATCTGAAGTGGGCCGCACACGCCTTGACACTGCGTTCAGTTGTGTGTCTACGTTCTACTGTTTGGCTAAATCACAAAGACTCTGGGATGTGATGACGACATCCAGGGACCCTTAAGGGCCTGACGGCACACAGGCCACTACTAAAATCTCTGCAGGTAAGCTCAACTCGAAACCTATCACACCACCCTGTTCTTCTGAACGGGGTCTCCCGAGTCCTCTGTGGAAATGCGAGGGGTCTAAGGCCACACGTAACAGGAAACAGAATCTCGATGAAGCGAGAGTGCAGAGCGGAAACTCCACGGGGGAAGGGAGGGTGTGGTGAATTGAGCACGAGTCCAGGAAAAGACTGGCGAGTCCCCAGCTAATCACCTGGTGGGCCCCACGTCGTGTGTCTGCATGACCCCGTGTAGTCTGGAGATGAGTCTGGCTTCTGAACAAGGACTCACCCGTAATCGATAGTCATCCACAGTCCAGATCCTGCTGGCAAAGTCATTGGAAGCTGCTAAGAGGTAAGAGCCCTACAGGAATAAAGGGGAAAGAACTTTTAGCCAAAACAGGAACTCAGTTCACAAGAGACACCTTCTCCAATAACCAAATCCCAGACAGCAGGGGTCTGAAACGACACACACAGTCTAGCCACCAGTGATTGATCACCCAGGTGCTGGGGACACACCAGCCCCCTTCATGCTCAGCTTTCTCCTGAGCTGGGTGAGTATCACAACCCACCAGCTACAATGGAACTCCTCCACCCTGCTCACCTTCCCCCAGGGTGGCACACTGTCACAGGCAGGAAGCCCAGAAGCGGCCCTGCCTCATCTCCCAACTACTGCTCTCTGAGACCTACGGTCTGCTCTATCTAGCCAGACACTCTCCTCCCACCCACAGCCTCAGCCCAAACCTGGCCAAGCAACACTGAATGATGGGTGACGGCTGCCCTAGTACTGCCCTCAACACTGGACACCTGTCTCAGAAAGGACTCCCAAGCCCTGTTTTGTAAGACTGGCCCCGGTGCCTTCCAGCTCTAACCCTTCAGCACGGCATGCATCTTGCCCCACACCTGACATCCCCCCTCATCATCTCCCAGGGAAACTCAAGGTTCTCTGGTGGGGGTCGGGGCACCAGGACCACCATGCAGACACTTGCTCTCAGCCCAGCTGCAGTCACAGTCAATCCAGAACACTCTAACAGAAGAGGCCAGACGGGATGCAACCGGAGCCCAGAAAGATCCTCAATGAGGTGCTACAGAGCAGGACCCCGGCGACGACAGGGGGACCACGACCCTGAGAAAGGAGGTGCTTACCCCGGCCCCACCCCCGTGGCTCCTGGCTACCGCACACCCTGTCCAAATGCTCCTCTCTGCACCACCGTTTGCCATCTCCTTTCTCCCCTGCCTGACCTCAATCCCTCGGGTCTGCCCGCAAGGCCGTATTCTGTTCCCTAACTCTCAGTCCTGAACCCACTACGCCCCCACCAGGGTTCCCGTCTGCTGCCCCCGTATCTCCGTCATAACCACATCACAGTGACAGATCACTCACTGTCCTCGTACCACCCTCCTCTCACAGGTGGCTCACCTGTGAGAGTGGGGACCACAAGTCTATACGCTGCCTCCTCTACCCTGGCATCTAAACACTCAAAGTATGGTCACGAGAGGCAATTCAACAGAGGACTGACCAAGGTCACAAGCCTCATGCAGAAAGCACAGTCCTAGGCATCAGGAGATGTACCCAGTAACCCCTTCTCACCCAGGGACCTGACTGCAAACCTAGTGAATGGGAACCAAGGACGTTAGTTCTCAATTTCACAAACCAAATACTTACTTGTTTCTTAAAAAAAAACTACACTCACCAACTTGCATGGCTCTGAGATACTTACAGCACTATCGAATTCAATGCTTGTAATTCCGGCATTACTGCCAGAGAGGGCGCCCTTGAACTCACACTTGTCTGTAAAAGCAAACAGATCAAGGAAAGACAGGAAGTTAAATAAAGCCAACAGACAAGGTCAAACAGGACATGTGAAACACAACGGCAGCACTGACACAGTCCAACAGCTTCCTCTGCTCCCAGTAACACAGCACCGTTCAGAGTAGAAACAGTCACTGTTATGACAGCTTAAGAGGTAAAACGACAGGACCCCTGGACTATTTCATAAAAAGCCTATTGGATTGGGCTTTTCCAAGAAGAAACAACTGCACTGAGCAAGCTGTTTGTGGACCAAGGCCCAGGATCAATCAGGCCATGACTGACAGCTGCTCACCAAGACGAGAAATGCTGCCAACCATTCCATTCCCTCGGGACCGCGGGGAGCCCTGACCCGACCCGCACACTGCGCTGTGGCCCGATCACACCGCCATGAACTATGATTAGTGCTCGCTTCCTCGCCGGCAGCAAACAGGGAGTGCTGCTGCTGGAGTGAGAGACTGGCATCTGTCTGACCGGCGTTTCTCGTGCCAAGGAGCGAAACAAACACTGTTGCGCTGTGACTTCTACTAAACCCCAATGCCACCACCAAAACAGGTCGTGCGCTTGGAAGTGAACAGCTGAACCTCAGACATTTCCAGTCTCATGACAGGGTTTTATCGTGGCTTCCTGACAGCATCCGTCATCACGCCTAAGTTAATGTGCTGTTTCTAGACAGAGCACCCCATGCATGTCTATCTCCTGTTGCTGTCAATGGAGATAACATAGCTTCTGCCATGTTAACATTTTCCACATGTACAGCTCAGCGAGACCCATGCCATCGGTCACGTTATGCCACCCTCACCGATATCCTTGGCCAACTCATCCATCATCATGAACACAAGCTCAGTCCTTCCTAACAATGGCCCCCCTCTTGCCCCTGGTCCTTCCTAACAATGGCCCCCCTCTCACCCCTGGGAACCACTGTGCGGTTCCCATCTCCGTCCATGCGCCCGTCCCAGCTACTTCCTGTCAGATGAGCCAGGATTTGTCCTTTGTGTCCAACTCAGTTCGCTCAGCATGTTTTCAAGGGTCACCCATGTTGTGGCAGGCATCAGGACTTGTTTATTTATTACTGAATAATAAATAAATAAATAACCACAATAATGTACGTGCTGTAACCATGGGAACTCGACAAGCAGCTAAACCTGTGCAGAAAACATACATAGTATTTAACTAAAAGAATTCCCAAATCCGCTTGGAAACTGGAACACACCCAGTGCAGACTCCTGAGAGGTCTCCTGTTCTGATGCCGTTTCCGAGGCCCGAGGTCACTTCTGAAGCCAGCGTCAACCAGAGAGAAGGCCTCCTACCTCAGGGCCTGCCTGCAGGCACCCGCTAACCGCACTTTCCCCAGGCGGCCCCCCCAACCTTCCTCTGCCTCAGACAGGACGCTGGTGGACCTGCTTCCGCAGGCCGTGCCTACAGCCCTATCACCATGTACACCAGCCCCAAGGGCTGAGGACACTAGAGGCCATGACCTCAAGTTCGTTTCCCTGGAAACGAGTACCATTGTGGAAGATCTTCTGATGAGAGTGTGCTGGCAACAAAGGACAGAAACCTCACTCATGCAAATGCACACACAACTGCCAGTATTTTCTAGTCACTACCTGGAAAATCAGCGCAAACATCCTCAGAAAGAAAGACCTGAAGTGGTGACTTTGGGTCAGACGACTCCCCACACACAATGGCATGACCAATGCAGCGTGCCTCTCTCCCTCACCTCCAAGGACTTCCCAAAGTTTGACTCTGCGATCCATGCCGCCGGTGGCCAGCAGCCGGGAGCCAGGACTGAACTGCACGGCGTTCACCTCCCCATCGTGTGCGTCCTGCAAGACAATCCACGTTCACACAGGCAGGGTCAAGGCCAACAGAGCCGACCACTCCCCATTAGCAGCCAGCGCTCCAGGCCCTCAGCTAAAGTAAACACACGTCCTGAAACAAGAGGGGACCCCATCAGGCTTGGCCCGAGTGCCACAGCTCTTTCTGGAAGCACTGTGGCACTAGTGTGTGCCAGTGGTGTGACCTCTGCCAAACTAAACTTCCCAAAGCCCCAGTTTCTCCCCCGGTAACAAGGGATTCCGTAGGTTCTGTGACCTGCAACTGTGCCTAACACTGAGGAGGCCTTCAACGCAAGCTACTAGCTTAGAATTAAATGCTAACTTAAATGGGAAGTTCCGAGACTGATCAAGGCGGGATTATGTGACCTAAAAAGAAGGCATTGTGTTCAGGCCAAGCACGCTGCCACGTGCTGGGAAGAGGGGTCGACAGAGGGATTCGTGGTAAGCTCTGATGGACCCAACGGGTCCAGGGTTTGCCTTAAACTGCCCCAGCCCAGGTGTAGGGGGCACAGAGAGCAGCAGATGCTGCCCCGGGAGCTGTGTGACTGGATGCGGGCACACGAGCACTCTCTGCACTGATCTCTCCTGCAGATCCAAAATCACCCACAATGCAAAGAGGGGAAGCCTTTGGAAAACCTCGACTGTAACCATCTGATCACGGAACAAACACTCCCGTGCTTCCTGTGCCTCCAAGGCCATTTGGGAAGACGTTGTCTGGCCTTCCCGTGGCCTGGGACTGCAAGGTGAGATGCTTGAAGGGTCACCGAGAGTGACTGTCAACTGACGCAAGCCGGCCCCACACCCCCAGGACTCTGCTTGGTGCCCTGCTGCCCCTCGTGTCTCAACCCCCCACCCTCCCGTGTCCTTCTTTCTCTCCCTCACCAGCTCTCTGCCTCGGAGGTCTCAGATTGAAAACTTGAGATCACGCACCATCACGCCCCCCTGCCCTCATCAGCCTCCTGCAGAAGTCCTGCTGTTGGACTCACATCAGCTGTGAACCTGCGGCTCTCAGAAACACACGCTGATGCCATCCCCTACTGTCAGCTGCCCCTGGGCCCCCGACACACACCTTCAATGGGACAGGAGGAAACACATGGGCTGCTGGGAGTCGAGGGCAGGGAAGGACTGTGACATTAAGTGCAATCAGACCTTTTACCAATCATCACGGACCTCTGTGCAGTACCCAGGCCTGCGACAGGACCCCAGGAGCGGAGTCCAATGTCTCCTCCAGAGCAGGGCTTCCTGGACACGCTCAGGGCAGTCTACCCCTCAGCCAGTCTGCTTTGTGGAAATGCCTAACTACTGAAGCTGCTCTTTACGCTGGCCTTGGAAGCTCACTGCATCTGAATTCTATCCAGGCAGGCAGTGAGCCCTTCCCTCCTCTGAAGGCAGTTCCTCTACCACCCCATTCAGTTCTGGGGCCAATCCAAGAGCCGGCCTAGCCTTCTAGGCTCTGTCTGGCCCCAGTACCTCGACAGCCCTGCATCACAAGACTCAACAGTCCACAGGTGGGCTTCATTCCCACTTCCCTCTCCCATCTGGGATCCGAACTGTCCTCCAGGAAGAGGTCTGCGCTGAACCCTGGCTAACAGCTCTGGTATCACGCTGGCTTCTGGCTGGGACTATACCCTGCCAAGTGCCCCTGATGGCTGGGGGTCACTCAGGGAAGGAGGCATTTAGGATGCCCCCAGCTGCCTGCAGTCCACAGTGGACCACCGACCAGACCCTTGCTCTACAGTGGAGCCAAGTGGTGACAACGGCATGGATCACCCTCAATTTCTCACCATCCCTAATAGGATTTCCATTTTGTCCTCTGAAACTAGGCAAAGTGTGCCACCTCCTCCGTCAGGCAGGGCCAGCGGGTGTACAGCTTGGTGTACAAGAGGTAGTGGGAAGCAGGAGTGTGGGAGGCTGGTGCTGCCAGGCTCTGTAACCACAAGCTCAGGCGGCCTGGGGGTTGACCACTTACGAAGATACACAGTGCGGTGGTCGGCACCCTCACGTCTTTACCAGAGCTGGGGTGAGTGTCCACGTTGTCCGGGGGTGCGGGAGGGGAAGAGACGGAGCGTCTCCTGAGGGAGGGACACAAAGGAATATGTGAGACGGGGCTGCCCCATGCTTCATTTCATCGACTGTCAGAAGGGTGTCCGAGACAGCGGACCTACGTAGACGGCCCTTGTCAAGAGCTTCTGTTCCCTTCTAGGCCCTCCACACCTGAATGATTCACAAAACCAGCGGCCTCACTTGGATGACTGAAGGACCCCCAGACACATCTGGGTTCGCAGTCTCACCGACTGACCCCAGCATTCACAACCGACTAGCAATCCTGAGTGACAATGCCGCCAGGTCAGCACAGTGTGACAGCTAGCTCTGGGATGTGGGTGAGAATACGTGAGCATGGCCTCTCCGCCTGGGGACACGCCTTCCTCACCCTCCATGCATGTGCAAGGCGGCGCCGAACGTGGGCCAGCGGGAAGAGGCACGGCCTGATGGGACAGAGCTCAGCCCACTGCCCGCTCTGTGGGGTCCCCCAGCCTGAGGAACATGCAAAGCACCCTGATTAGCACGTGTCCACCCGGTGCTGGGGCGGCGGAGCGGTAGGCAGCGGGACTGTCAACAAGCCGCACGCGCATGCGGGGCTGAGACACGAGAGCGGTGTTCACCTGGCAGCCTCGGAGACAGAGTGGTGTCCCAAAAGGGGGGACTCGGACAGACTGGAGGGAAAGGGCAGAGGTCAGCACGCAGCAAGGTTAAGAGAAAGGAGGCCAAGGGGGAAAGAGGAAGCTAAACGAGAAGCTGAGATGGAGGCACGTGGGGGCCCTGCCCCCTGATGTTCCAGGGGTGTTACAGTGAGAGACCGTGGGCGGGTACTTAGGTATATTTACACACATTACAGAGACAAGGTGAAGGTCTTCTAACCTACCCAAAGATATTAGTGATAGAGTCCAGAAGGCCTCCAGCAGGCTGCGAGAGTCGCTTACTAAAGAGGAGGGGAGGATAGGTTTAAACCTTTGAAACATTTTGCCCAAATCATCACTCAATAAAAACAGCCCACAAAATAGGCACCTGGGAGGCAAGGTGATTCCCCCTGGCTCCCACACCCTGACCCAGCAGCGAGCGGAACACACCTACCATCCACCCACCAGCAGACAAGGAGGGAGAGGGAAAACCAGCCCTGGAGTCTAGAGAAACAAGGTCCCTGAGGTTCAGTCCCCTGGAAATAATGCTCAGTGAAGGCGTCTCACTGACCAAAGGGCTTGCTAATGACCTACCCTCGCCCCTTTAGGACAACTGTAGCAAAACCCAAACCACCACCACCACCACCACCACCCGAGCCCAGGAGGAAGTAAGCAGCGTGACCTGAACCAGGTCCCCTCTCAGGAACCCACTATGTGTCATGTGTGTAGACACGGTGGCACCTGGGACATGCCCCCTCACTGCTGTCCGTCTGCACAGGGAGGCTTCCCCTCTGTCAGGGTGGGGACTGTGTGTAGACACTGGATGGCACCTTGGACACGCCCCCCACACAGGTACCCTCAGCACAAGGAGGCGTCCCCTGTTAGGGTGGGGCCCCAAGGACGACGGGACATCCAGGAGCTGTTCATCTCCGCCTGGGTGTGCCCACGAAGGGGCTCATGTCCTCCGCTCACATCCACACACACACTGTCATGCGCAGCCAGAGCTCGTCTCCCCGCCCCGCCCCGCCCACTCACGTGGCCACTTTGCTGGCGGCCCGCACAGGAGAGGCCTCCTCAGGGTGCTCAGAGGTCTCATCCAGGAGGACTTCAATGTCATCGTCCCTGCGAAGGAAGGGCAGGAACAGCAGCTTTGTGGCGACTCTACTGTGCATGCGCTCACACCATGGCCATGGCACACACAAGCTGTGACCCGCTGCGGTTCTCTGGAGACAAAGCAAGCACTGCCACGCTGGGCAACACTGCAGGGGACAGCTGACCTGCTCCCCTGAATCCAGAGGCCTTTGCTTCCCGTGGTGTGACCCAAGCTCCCACTTGGAAGGCAATGGGACAATGGCTGCTTCAGTCCATCACCAGACAGTCCCAGGCTAGGGTCTTCCCTGCATAAGCTTGGTCCCATCCTGCACACAGGCAGAGCCTGACTACAATCCTCACCAGTAAACCAGGTTCCATCAGACGGGGCCGAGGGGCACATAGGAGGATCAAAGGGGCAGCTATGGAGTACCGGGGAAGGATCCAGGTAAGAAACCAAACCTGCTGCCTCAGAGTTGATTCCGACTCACACACCCCAACAGGACAGAGCAGAACTGGCCCATAAGGGACCCAAGGCTATAATCTTTACAGAAGCAGACGGCCTCATCTTTCTCCTGCGGAGCAGCTGGTGGGCTTGAACCACCAACCTTTTGGTTAGCAGCTGAGTGCCTCACCAATGCACCTCCAAAGCTCCTTAAGAGGGGCTGGTCAAAGGGTAATGGAACCCAAGGCTGCGTTTCCAACCCTGGCTTAAGTGCTATCTTGATGATAAAAAAACCCAGAAAATCAAAACCTCAACACTGTTCATCTGAGTTCAGAGCACACGACGTGTCTGTTTAAATGGTTGGTGCTCCCAACATCTGCAAAGTCCACATTTCAGATGAGACAGTGCACATCACGGCACAACGTGCACACACCCATCCCGCCCAGGGAAAGGCAGGACCACTTCACAGAAGGATGCAAGCGCCTTGGGATTCCCTTCCTCCCTGTTCTCAGGGCCACACCTTTCCCAGCTGAGGGGAAGGGATGTAATTATTCTGGTCTTCATAGCCACCACGGAGCTGCAATCTTCCAAAACCAAACCAAACCCACTGCTGTGGAGATGGACCTGTCTCACAGCGACCTCTCCTTGGGTTTCCAAGGCAGTATCACTACGGAAGTAGATTGCTCAACCTGCCTTCCGAGGAGTGGCTGGAGGGTTTGAACCACCAGCCTTCTGGTTAGCAGTCAAATGTCTTAGGGAATCTTCCTGAAGAATAAAATGTCACAACCCAAGACAGCATCCCGACTGTCAGGGTTTGGAGGAACTTAGAAGCGAGATGCCCCCATGTGCAGTTATCTGGATGGAGTATGTATGTACGTAAGAACCTGGTACCAGGCACCCAAAGCCTTGGCTACTCATCCTAGGAGGGCACGTCACTGTCACCTTTGGCCCAGGCGTAGACGGGAGCAAAGGCAGGTGGGATGAAGAGGACAGGCTGTGTGCAGCTTCTTCCTGGTTGGCCTTCGTGCAGTTGACTCATGCTGGGACCTCCAGACAGCAGTGCCAGTGAGAGCAAACACAAGCTGCACCCCCGAGCGTCTGGGTTAAGACAGGATGTTGTGGCCTAAGGGCACTCGGCACTCTACAAAAGCCCAGGGTCACATGCAAGGCCAGGATTTGGCCGGGTCTCAAAACCCTTTGCAGGTGGACATGTCCTGAGGCCCAGAAAGCCCCCTCTCTGGGAGCAGGAGAGAGCAGGGGTTAAGGACATGGGTCTACTTCTCCGCCTGCCGCCCCTGTGCATCCTGGACGGGATGCTGGACGCTTTCAGTAGGGGTGCACCTGCTCACCCACTCACACGAGGAGGTGGATAGATGACATGTTTCAGGGTGCTGTCAAGGAACTGAGCCTCATTTCCAGAGCAACGATTTAGCTGTCAGATTCATTTTCCACGCCTGACAGTATAAACCACCTCTCGCCCGTCAGCCTGCCGTTCTGTGGGGGCTTGCGTGTTGCTGTGAGGCTGAGTGGAGGACACGTACACACCTGCCACTGACGGACAGGCTTGGTGTGAGGACTCATTTCATGTAAAGGAAGACCCTTGTCTGGTGAATGACCCCAACCGACATTTAAATCCGGCCCCTCCATTTGAAAGGGAACCACCAACAGTTTTAAACCAGTGGGCCATCATTCTAATGCTGTGTTCTAACACACACTGCAATAGAAGAAAAGCACATCTTGGACCAGACCAAAACGCATTTAGCTGTTAAGATATGCCCCCACAAAACAAAGCCTGCACTCTCAGGGCGGTGCTCCTGCTCCCAGGTAGAATCGGAAAAGCCCTGGGACAACCTCCGACCCATCTGTTCCAAGAAATCTAGTGCTCGTTTACACTTCAAAGAGTTGGCCAGACTGTCACTGAAACTCACCAATCAGTCCCCACCCAGGAGGTGCAAAGTGTCAACAGGGCAACAGTGTGTGAAGTTCACCTGACAGCTAACAGGGAGGGTAAACCCGAACACGCTTCTGGAAGGTGACTTGGCAACAAGCTCCGAGAGCTTTGACCTCTGCGTTTTTATTTCAAGGGCGTAGTCTGAGGAAGAAACCGGAAGTATGGCCCTTAACAGCGGGAACTCAGAAGCCACTAAAACCCTGGGATGGTCTGTGCTGCACTGCTGGGACAGATTCTCGGTGCCTATTGCCTCTTTTACACTCCCCCATCTCCTGTCTGATGTTATACCTGAAGATGTCAAACAAGGGTTTGACACATCACAGAATGGTGTTCACCCCACGGCTGCAGTCTGTGCGTCTACTTACTGTTCAATGGGCAGAGGCTCCTTTGCGGCTTCGGCGAGCTCCTTCTGCAGCCGGGCCTGCCGCCTCCTGGGGAAGAGAGCCACCAGTTACGCCTGCGTTTGGGTCCTCAGTAAACTACCGGCTCACAAACAGGCCGACCTTGCTGGACTGCGTTCTGGGGATACTGTGTGCTTTACAAACTGAAGGTGTGTGGCAACCGTGTGTCAAGCAAGCCCAATCGGTGTCCTTTTCCCGACAGCATGTGCTCACTTCGTGTCCCGGTGTCAGAGCACGTCACTCTCACAGCTGTCTCAGGGCTGGCTGTGGCCGAGACCGGTGCATTGCAGCAACAGCCTCCCGCTGCCACACGCCAAGCACGAACAGTGAAGGTTTACTTCCGCCTGGCACTGTTCTGTTATCTGTGTTTAACTCATCAACTTCTTACTCACTTGAGGCAAGTCCCGGTATTCTCACTTTACAGGCACAGAAACCGAGGCACAGTTAACTCTAGAACTGTCAGGGCTTACGCAGCTTTAATTTATGAAGGCCAGACTGAAGAGGAGCCCCAGGGGCACAATGGTTAACAGCTCAGTAGGGCATCTGGACCCACTCGGTGGGAGAAGAGCTGGGAGTCTGCTCCCACAGAGATGGCCGTCTGGGCAGCCCTGTGGGGAGTTCCACTCCATCCACAGGCCGGCTGAGTCAGATCACCTCAATGGCACCCGACTACAGAGAAGTTGCGGCTGTGGCAGCACTGGGACGTGGCCCGCAGTGGCACCCACTTGCCCCCTCTCAGAACCACTCTATCCCTCCCTCCCTAGGCCTGAATTCAGGAGGCTCCAAAGTGCTCAGTGTGGGCCGTCCGTTCCTCCAGGGCCATCTCATCTCTAACTGTGGTTGTGTCCACCCGTGCCAAATTCCTGATCTCAGCCTCTAGCGCTGCTACTGAGCTCCTGCGAGAAGTCCACCATTGGTCCCCTTGTGTGGGTGCCCCCCAGGACCTGCACGCAACACGTCCTACATCCCTACTGCTGGGAAAGCCCAACGCCACTGTGAGCCTCTCTGGATGCGACCACTGAAGGGGGCCCCCAACAGTCCTTCCAGGGCTCCAGTATCAAGGCCTTCACTCCTCCCCCTGATTCCCAGGCCGGGCCCCCACCTCTGTTCCCTGTGCCTCTGCAGACCAGGTCCGGCCCTGACCGCCCCACCCCACTTCTCCCAACCACTGTGCAGCCTGCCTGACTGCTTCCACTTCGCCCAGTGTCCCAGAGATGCCAGCATGAGGGCTCTGGGTGCTGCAGATGTTTGCGGAACCAACAATCGCTTTTAGGAAAGCCATCACCGCACCCTCAAAACCTCCCCTAGAAGTCTTCCTGGAGCTGTGCTCAGGCAACGGCCCCGCCCTCTGTACCTGGGACCCTTGGCAGTACCACCGTGGGGCATCCCGGTCTCAGTACCACCGTGGGGCACCCCAGTCTCGTGCTTGGCTGCGTGGACCACGTATTCCCCACCAAGTGCTTCTCATTTTGTTTCCTCCAGAACAGCTGAAAGGATATCTGTGTATGTGTATTTCTACCATGACGATTAAACGATTAATCCTCAAAAACCAAGAGGGTCCTGCGGGTCTCTAAGCGGTGGACCAGAATCTTGCATAGGGCTAAGGGCATAGCCCAAAAAAAGTGCACTACACTCCTAATGTTATACCTGAAGATGAAGAAAGTTTTACAGGACAAATGACAACAGTTTAACTACAACATTTTCCTAGCTAGGGAAGAAGTGGGAGGGGAGCTGTTGCACTGTGGGAAACTGCAGTCAATGTCATGAGACAGTGTATGTGAACTGCTGTATGGAAAGTGAATTTGCTCTGTAAACTTTCACCCAAATCACTACATAAAAAAAAAAATTCTTAGCTGGAATAGGGAACCTATGAACTGTGTTTGAAAGAGACCAATATCTTGGTAGGGGGTGGGGACAGCCATGGGGATAACCCTCCACAGGAAAGCCACTCGTGGCTGACTGCTCAAACCCCTTCCATTATAGCCTTGGGTCCACACTCTCCAAGGTGGGGATAAAAGGCCCAGGGTCACAGGGACAAGAGCCTGGCCCTGGCATCGGAACAGCTGAGGACGAGGCCCCGCTCTGGTCCTTCCACCAGTCACTGAGTGCCCTTCCATCATGGCCGCTGTGCTTGACCATGGGGACACACCATCCCTCAGCCGGGAATGGAGCCTGGACACGAAGTGCTATGTGAAAAGAGCAGCCCACCTTCTGACACAAAGAGGAGGAACGGCTAATCTGAGGAGCTGGCAGGAAGGGGGAATGGGGAGGGAAGACTTCCAGGGGGAGGAACGATGAGTGAAGTAATGAAACAATCCCCAGGCCCCCACCTGCAATCAAATGAAAAACCCCCAAGCACGTCTTCCTGGGACAACACGTGAATAATGAAACGGAACAAGAGCAGATACGCGAAGTGCCTGAGCTCGCCACCCTCATGCTGCCAAAAAGCTCATGGTGTGAGCCAAGCTGTGTCACCTGCAGTAAATGCAGGATGGAGGACAGAAAGGCGCAGCCCAGGCTGTCTTACTAGAGCTGCATGCTCTCTGTAGGAAACAGAGAAAATCCAGACAAGGACAGAAAGAACAACAAAACCACCGTCTCACCACCTGAAATAAACAGCATTCCCAGCCCACCTCGCCCCTTCCGGCTCTTGCCTTTAAATTTACACAAACTGGAAATTATACACAAAACACTCGTCTCTCTTCCTAGTTTCAAGGAAACAGATTTTATGCATTTTCTCACATCACTAAATGCTCTTAAAATATACTTAATTTTAAATGGCTTTATAATCCCCTGGTGGAACACATCACTATGTAACCATTCCCATGGGGATAGTTTCTCTTTTTACTATGAATAATGGAGCTTTGGTAGCATAGTGGCTAAGACACTTGCCTGCTAACCAGACGGCTGACGGTTCAAACCGACCAGCCAATCCTCAGAAGGAAGGTTGGGCAATCCTACTTCCGTAGTGATACTGCCTCGGAAACCCAAGGAGGGGTCGCTATGAGTCTGGTTTGACTCGACGGCACATAACAACAACAACAACGTTCACATGCAAAGAGATCCCGTGTGAACATGTCTTATTACTTCCTCAAGATCAATTTCCAACAGTGGAGGAACCTTAAGGCTGGTAGACACCCTGGTGCCTTCAAGGGGTGTACAAACGGGCCTTCTTCTCACCTCCCTCCCCACGCCTGCCTCTGCTTCATGGACTCTCCCTGCTCCGTGTCTGTGCATCTGAGTGCACAGCATTTCCTTTCTGACTACATCGAGGATTCTTGTTTTCAAACAGCCTTTCATTTGCTGTTCAGAGCTGTCTGATGCAGAAAAATCTAAAGAGCCTACGATCAACTCTGTGTCCACCACCTTTATGTTTAGAAAGCCCTCTCCACTCCTGTGCAGGAGTCAGTCTGTAACGGGCACAGAGAGAAGCCACTAAGCCCATTCCTCAGCAGTGTAGCTCTGCATCATTCCTCCTTAAGAGCCTGTTTTCATTCATTTTCATGAACTAGAATCATGTTAAGTTCTAAACTACCAACAGGGATTTCAAGAAGTGCGTTCTAATCATGGTGAACCCTGATGGATAGTTTCCGGCTCATTCTCTCAGGTGCTCTAGGTGGACAACCACCAGGACTCCCCCTTCTTCCCAACACTGGGCTCTGGTCTTCCTGTCACAGACTAGTGACTGGCCAGAACGTGCACTCACTGTCCCATAGGTATGGTGACAGAGTGGACCTCCCTTCTTGTGGCCCCAGCATCACTGGTTGTTTGTGGGACCCTAACCCCAGATCTACTAGGCCCTCTGGGCAGTGTGACCACACACACATTTCTGACCACCAAAGTCTGATCCCCAGGGTGTGGGTGGGATGCTTCCCTGCTGAGAACCTACCGGCTGCCGGTCTGAACGGGCACTCGTACCAACTGCAATTTAAGAGCGTCACACAGGAGCTCCACCACGACCGGGCTGCCCTAGCAGGATCAGAACCACTGGCTTGGATTAGCACAGTTGCACAAAATCACTGGGGCGGGAAGGGAAGCATCCAATCTTTCTAGATTCTGGTTTAACTTGCATAGTTCAGAAATTCGCTTTCCTGCTCAAAATACTCCAAGAATCCACTGGCAAAGGATGTGGGCCAAAAAGCCTTTCGGGGAGAGGGCCGTGTGCCCGGCTGCTGTTTAAGTGCAAAACTCTTTTCTGTCTGCTCTGGGTGTCTCTAACCTGGTGGTCTCCCGACTCTGCCCGGTGGCTGCAGCTGCCAGGCTTCTCTCCCCCCTTCACTAAGAATGGAGACCACCAGCGGCAGGTCGCCAGCCCACCTGGAATCCTTTTCGTTCTCTGCATTTAAGCGGTTGGCCTCCTGGGCCTTCTCAGCCATCCACCGCGTGACCAGCTCCTGGTTTTCCTCGGTGGTTTTCCTCAGTTTCTCCTCCAAGGCAGTGAAGGTGATCTGCAGGGCGTCGTACTCGTCCTTCAGGGTCTGGTTCACTCTCTCGAGGTCCTGGAGCTTACTGCGCAGCTCTTGGCACTCCGTCTCCAGGTCGGAGATAGTCTGCAAACACTCTGCAATTCTGAAAGCAGGACACACAGAGGGGTAGGAGGTGCAAGAGCCCTACACTTGAGCCGGGGACCTGGCTGCATGCTGCCACCAGGGGAGCCTGGCCAACGAGCGCAAACCAGCCACCACCCCAGCACCTCTCCCTAATGGCACCCCCCATAGCCAGCCCCGACCCTGGTGTTTCCCAAGAAAATTTCATCAGGAAAGGAAACACCTCAGGTGGACTCTTCCTAAGAAAGACCTGGCGACCCAGCACCAGAACTCGGCCAAGACCCTCTGGAGCAGTCTCCAGGTCACAGTGAGGCAGAGCTGACGTGACAGCAACGGGTGCTGGTGAAGGAGCAACCAGTCAGACCCTTTCCGAAAGGCATGAGTTTGGGAAGAAGGGGCTAGGAACACTATGTATTTCACCCGACTGAGCAGAATGCCTGAGCAGGCCCTCTGCCTGCCGAAGCCTCTAGGGCCCTCTCTGCACGTCGAAGAAAAAGCCCCAGCTGAACCCCAAGCCCCCCTCCAGCCCTATGGTCTCAGCTTGAGTCCTGCCCCCTTGTCTGCCGGGTTCTCCCCCAGCAGAGACCCCCACTCCTAAGGCCTCAGAGAGCTCAGCCCTGCCGTCCACCACGGGCTCCCTATGCCTCAGGGACAGATGTTGAGGGGGCAAGCCTAGTTCCCAGGCCTGAGCCAGAGCCCGGGAGGCCTGAGGCCCGGGCCCGGCCTGTCCAGCCCCCCCAGCAGGGCCGACTGGGTGCTGTGTGGGACTTATCAGCAGGGCAGGCGGCCGCGAGCCTCCCCACCACTCACTTGGCCTCATTCGCCTGCACCTCCCGGTCCTTCTGCTGCATCTGGTTATTCAGGTCAATCACCAGCTGCGCCAGCTGCAGACAGAGAGCACTTTTACAAACGAGAGACTGCCAGACCCCACCGGAAAACACACGTGCGGGTGCCCATACTTCACCAGTGAAGGACTCGGCTGCTAGCTAATGGGTCAGCACTGCAAACCCCTTAGCCAGTCCACAGGAGAAAGCCACAGCAGTCTAGTGCCATAAGATTGCCTTGGAAACCCATGGGACAATTCTACTCTGGCCTCTAGGGGCGCTGTGATTCATACCCAATGACACCAATGGGTGGAATTACATCATTAAAAATCAAAGGAGGGCCTCTACTCGACCCCCAGGTTCATGCTGAGATGTCTTTCCAGCCCTGACCTCAGCCGTCTGGAGGCCGATTTCGGCCAATCACTGATGGTAAAGCCGTAGTTTTTCAACACCAATTTGCCACAAAACCACCACCCCTGGCCAACACGGCCTCATGGTAACAAATATTTTCTGAAATTTCAGGGTTCCTACTCAACACCTGCGCGAGGCCCTCCTTCACACGACTCCCCATCCCTGGCCTGAGGGGTGATGAAGCATTCCGGCCAGCCAGCAGGCGCTTCTGTGCCCTTTCCCATGTGGGCGTGACTCGGGGGGACGATGTGGTGGGGGAGCTCCCTGGCTCAGCCTCTTGCAGACGGGCCTCATCTGTCCCGGGGTCCCCACTGTGTGACTCCTAGAGTCACAGCCTGTGATGGGAACATGCTAGGACTGCTGCAGCTTCTATGACGGGCCCCACGCCCTTCTCTTAGCACACGAGGTGACAGCAACTCAAGCTTCCCAAGGTGTCCCCAGACTCTCCCACGGCAGCGAGGGGACTGGCCCTTCTTACCTCCCCACGCTTCTTGTGTAACTCCGTCAGCTCCTCCTGGTGCTTAATCCTTAGCTGGGCCATTTCCTGCAGCTGACCATCATTCCAGGCGCCATCATGCCCGGGACTGAGTCCCCAAACCAGGCAGAAGAGGAGACCGGGGGAAAGGAAAGAGAGAAAAAACAACCAAAAAATCAGACCCCAACCTCTTCAGTTAGGAGTGGAACGTGGGTCAGCACTTGAAACGTGGCTATGGCTACACGAGAAGTCCCGTCTCTCTGGGCCCTGACAGACCCGAAGCAGGAACCAGGAAGCATGAGACCCAGTGGAGTCAGAGGGATGGGGTCGGGAAGGAAGTTCAGGGAGAGCCAGAGGAGGCAGCCAAGCGCACCCTCTGGATGGTGTCCCTGAGAGCCAGCTCAGCGCCGGGCACTGTGCTCAGTGCTAGGGACGTGGTGCAAACACAGCTCTGCTCTCACGCAGCTCAGAGAGGACGGATCAGCACCAGGACCATGACCAAGACAACACGATGCCAGGTGGTCCTACGTGCCATAAGGAAGACAGAAGCAGGGAAGGAAGTGACAAGGAAGGGTGACCATGACCAGAAAGAAGTAAGAAACCAGGCACCCGGACTCCTGGGAGTGGAGCTTCTAAGAAAGGGAAAGGGGGACAAAGGTCTGCAGAGGCAGCACGGCTGTGTGTGCAGGGAACGTGTGACTGGAGCCCTAGTGTGCGGTGGACAGAGGATGGAGACATGCAGCACCGGGAAGGTCCCGCTCAGGACACTGGCTTTGACTGGGTGTGAAAGGGAAGCTTCCGGAGGGTTCTGAGCAGAGGGACAATTTACATGTTACAAGGAGCCCTACGGCTGCCAGATGGAGACAGACTGTAGTAGGCAAAGGCAGAGATGGGGACACGGGTGAGTGGGTCACTGTGCTGCAAACAGAGCTGATGTGGCCTAGGCCGAGCCGGGCAGCGGAGGTGGGAGATGGGTCAGACACCAGCTACATTCAGAAGAGAGAAGTGACAGGACTTGCTTTTGAACTGGCTACGCAGCATGGAAGACAGGCAGGAGCGGAGGACGGCTCGAAGGCTTTCGGCTCACTTGACCGACAAAAGGCAGGTACCATCTGCTGGCTGGGGAGGTTCGAGGGTTCGGTGTCAGACAGCCAGGTGGGCATGTCTGGTAGAACCAGGCTCTGAGTGTCACAGCTCCAAGGCAAAGTCCACATTCAAGGCTCACATGCAGATGCTGTCAGCAGAGAGGTGACTGAAGCCACAGGAGTGAGGTGAGATCGCCTCCAACAGCCCTGCTCTCTGGAAGCTTGGCCGGCGTCTACACAGCGTCTCTCACAAAGCAGCAGGCAAAGGGGAGAAATGGGAAGCTCAGCAGAGGGTCTCACTAGAGCTACAGAGAACGATCAGACTGTAGGGCAGCGGAGGCCAGCCCCCAGGGAATCCAGCCCCTGCAGGGAGGGGTCAAGGCCCACTCCAGCTGGCCAGGAACAAGCCAGACGGGCAGTGAGGGACAGCAAGACCCTCCTTCCTGGCCTGCCCTCCAGTCCTGCAGGCCACCTTCTCCCTGCTCTAAACACACTGACCATCATCCCTTAAGGCCACCGGGGGCTCCCCCACCTCAACCCGGGACGTAGAAGCAACAGAAGGAAGTAAAGCAGTTCCACACCAGCACCCCAAGTCAGGCAGGGGGATTGGAAGATAGCACACCTCCCCAGCTCAGCACAACGGATGAACACAATCAACATCACCACACGCTACCGCAAAGAATGCTGAAACGACCAGTGTTTTGTGACCTCCGAAAACAGTCGCTCGATTTAAGGCAAAGCAGCACGAACTATGCAAAGAGTAAGAGGAGTTTACCTCTTCCAGGACTGGGTCCTCCAGGAGAAGAGGACACCAAAGAGAAGCCAGTGCACAGCAAACACTAGAATGGCAGCCGGGCTCACCACGCAAAAGCAGGAGGGACGTCCCTGGGTGCCAACGTGCTGCCTGGGAGGGTCAGAGGCGGCAGAGGAGCTGGGTCTCCCCGCAGCGTGGGCTTTAGGTAAGAAGAGTGTCTGAAGCCTCCAACACAGCCAGGACTGGGAACTGATAGCAGAGGGCGGTCAGCCTGGCTCACCACCGATGATGCCCTAGTTCACTCATTAACTAAAGCCAAACTCCTACCACCGAAGATGCAACTACCGGTCTCTCTCTGTCCGAAGCAAAGTGAAGAAAATCAAAGATGCATGGAAACAATTAAATCCAAGGGACTAGTGGACCACGGGAACCTCAGCCTCCACAACCATGAGACCCAAAGAACCAGAGGGTGCCTGCCTACCACTGCCAACCACTCCGAAAGGGATCCCACATAGGAGGTCTTGGATAGAGTACGAGAAAAATGTGGAATTAAACTCAAAGTCATAAAAAACACCAGGCTTATTGGTCTGATAGAGACTATGGTAGAAATAAAATGTCTGACTTTTCAATGGACTCAATTTTAGATGGACAGGAGGCAGAGTCACTACCTACAGCCGACGGTCACCATGCACTGCAACTAACACTTCAAATACTAGAGGCCCCTGGGAGCCAGCCGAGCCGTCTGTCCTGAACCACTGGACTGTCACTCCGCAGGAAGCAAGCCTGGTTAGGTCGCACCAGCTGTTCTCTATGATCCTGCCCACTCCGTCACCATGCGTGAATCCATCCTGCCAGAGGAGAAAGCACGGGTGGCAGGCAATCACATAGCAGATGACACTCCATCTGCTTAGCAAAATAAACCAAGTAAAGCTTAGCACTCCTGTTTTGTCTCTTGGAACCCCTCTAAACTGCTTAGATTAAGATGGTTTTCTAACTTCTCTATGATTCTCAACAAGAAACGTTTTTCACATCCAGTCACTACCATGCATACACATGTATTTAATGAAACAAAACTGACCCTCCCTATCAGAACGCATGGATGTTTTTCCAGCCTGTTTCTTAAAAATACAAAAAGCTTAACTCAAATTGCAATTGTGACATCATAAGCTATCACTACGCTGAAAACAGTGATATTGAAAAGGTGGGACAGACCCATGCTATACAGAGCACGACCTGTTTATACGCCACCTGAGCCTGTATTAACGAGATCTGGTCAAACTGTACACAAACAGTGCCTCGTCTCGGATGTTTGACAAAGTGAACCCTGGGGGGCTAGAGGAGGAACGGCCTGTGAGTTAGCACCCAAGCTGCCTTCAGGAAGCCCTCACACTGGAGGCACTGTGCTAACGATGCCTGTGACCAGCAAAGCCATCCAGGCATGCTGTTCTGTTGGTAGGCGCGTCAAGCTAGCTCTGACTCAGAGACCCCATGCACAACAAAATGAAACACTGCCTGATACAGGTGCGCAGCTCTGAGCAAATCCTTTTAAGTACCAAACTTTAGCAGTTCTGTCAAAAACCCAAGCACAGAAACACCACCGAGTTCACTTCTCAACCAGAGAAGGGGCAACCAGACACTTCCAGACAAGGCCGAGAGAGACATGTCTGCGCGGCAAGTTTCCAAATACCTTATCTCATGCCTGTTTGGCAGGTCATGCTTCTCAGCTTGTAGTTTATGGGCCAGCACTGAATGAAGATCCGACTTTTCCAACAACTTGTTATCTATTGAAAACACAAACGGGGAAATCAGTTATTTATTATCAATTATGTTTACTTCATCATTACTTTACACCTAACAAAGCTTTGGCCTACAACAGCCAAGACGCAAGGGTTAGGTTTCACTTTTACTAGGTGTCAAAGTACCTGGTCCTGCCCTTTGTTATCTATGGTAGCAATGGTCCAAAATCCACCTTAGGGGACAGCCCCACCAGGGCGACCATGGCCACAGATCTGCAAGAACATCCTCACTACTAAGGCAGTCACATCACTTCCTACTCTACAAAGAACCAGTTTTCCACTCAGGTGTTTAAAACACACACGCATGCATACACCCCCCCCCCAACACAATGGGAAAATGAAACGTTAGGCACCTCTAGAAAACACAGAAGCACTTCACCATAATTTAATAAATTTAAGTATTTTAAAAAAATTTTTATAAATGAAACCATCTCCAAACTCAAGGAGCTCAAAGACAATGAGCGCCAACTGCCACCAGAAACAGAGGGGTGGCTCTGCCCACCTTCTCCTGCGGCTTCATGTCAGTCACATCTGAGTTAGGTCTTCGAGGACAATGATAGTCCAGACAGAAAGAAGGGCCCAAGGTTTGCCTGATAACCAAAAAACCTCCCCACAAACCTACTGCCATCAAGTCTACTCGGACTCACGGTGACCCTTTAGGAGAGAGTAGAACTGCCCCACAGCGTTTCGAAGGCTGTAAATCTCTACAGAAGCAGACCACCTCACCTTTCTCCAATGGAGCCACTGGTGGGTTTGAACCACTGACCTTTTGGTCTAACCACTGGTTTAACAGTGGTTTAACCACTGAGCCACCAGTACGCCTTAGGGTTGTAAGGTAATAAGAAATGTGGCACTAACACATGACAGGAAGGGCAGAATGGCAGAGTTAGACTTTTTCTTGTTGCCGACGGAGAAATAACAGATTTTAAGAGCAAGCAGTTACATGAACAGGTTTGTACCGGTCAGAAGTCAAAGACCACTCTGCCCTCCCTCACTCAGGCGGTGGAGGATGCCAAAGCGTCAGCCACAGACCACAGGCCAGGAGAGCCTGGGGAGAGAATACTTCTCCTTTCTGAACATACATCTGTCAGGACACTCGTGCAGCGCACTTTTCAAAAGAAAAGTCAGGGCTGGAAGGGACATGGAGTTGGACATGGCAGATACAGAATGGGAGCAGATGGGGGCAGGGCCACAGCGAACAAGAAGTTGACGTGGGAACCCTGTAGAACGGCTACATTTGAATGGCTGCCACAAGCCCTGAAGGCAGGGGCTCAGACGTGCTCGGGAACAGAGCTGTGACAGGTTTGACTCGAGTGACCACTCCTGTCAGACTGCCCGTCGTGAATCCTGCTTCTCCTTGAGACCTGAGAAGGGAACTCCCAGCAGAAACAGAAGTGCCTTCTCCATCAACGTGGGTTGAATGAATGGACTCAGCTGAACAGGGAAGTGGTTCCCTTGATCATGACCTTGATCATGACCAAGAGAAAGGTTTAAAATTCACCAGTGTCCATGGGCTATCACAGTTCCACAAAACACTGCACCGAAGCCCAGTGTCTCATAATCACTTTAGTTCTTCTGAAGGACACAAGACATTCAAGCAGGATGCTTCCCAGAGGTTCCTCTCACTGAAGAGGAAGGTGGAGCTGGGGGAAGCCCCACACAGCCTCTCTTCATCTTTCTCTTCGGGCTCAGAGGCAGGGATGGAACAGGGAGACTGAGTCAAAGGGTCAACACTTAGGACTGGCAGGAATGGCGGTGTTCCAGAGCCAAGCAAGAAGTGACCTCCCCAAAGACAAGACCCAACCTACACAGACGTACTAATAGGCAAAAGTGGTCTTGCTCTCCGGCCGCCTACATGCCTTTCATCCCCGTCTCCTCTCCTCGCCCCTCCTGAGAGCTGCGCCGTTTTGTCCCATAGAGCTGTTGATCAACTGTCGACTTTCTCCTTCCTCCTTCGGCTCCCACAAGAGCGCCACTCTCAAAGTGCACAGAAGGGTTTGATGTGTGAGATCAAAAGCACTTTATTTCCAGACATTGTACAGAAGGCTTCGCAGCACTTATTTGCACAGCACTGTTTTACGACGGGGCAGGGCGAGTTCCACTGCCTTGTCACAGACACAGCCAACCAGGCTCAGAAAGGCCAAGGCGAAGGTCAGCAAGGGGCGGGGCCAGGCAACATGACTGCCAAGGCAGATTATCTCTGAAGAATAAGCAGCAGTGGATTCCTTCAGGATGTACTTCATGAAGTCAATGGGCCAGGGCAGACTGAGATCCAGAGGGGCTTCTGACCCCGCTCTGGTCTGGCAGGCCTGGACGGGTACAAGGAAGGAGGAGCAGGGTGGTGGCGCAGTGCTCCCTCTTCGTCCTTTGTTAAAAGCATGAGCTCAGTGAAAGCAGGGGCCGTTTCTTGGGGATTCAGTGAGAAAAGCAAACGCAAAAGGTTAAGAGTCCTCAAGCCTGACTTCAAATCCCACCCTGAGGAAGTTACTAATCCTCTCAGCCTTGGTTTCCTCACGTGTAAGAGGGCAACAACAGCACGTGCTCCATACAACTCTGGGGGAAATAAGACGAAACAAACACACGCCAGATATTCAGCCTGGTTGCACATCAGATCACTTTAGGAAGCATCACAAGGACTGATGGGTGTGTCCCACCCCCAACTGCAAAAAACCCAAACCCACTGCCAGAGTCGGGTCCCAACCATCCCTGTAATCTGTTGGTCTGGGGTGTGATCTGGGCTGTGTAGGCAGTTCTAGAGGGTCAGTGAGAAAGGGGAAGCCCCTCAGCGACAAGGATCGACACAGCGGCTGCAACGACGGGCTCAAGTATGGCAGTGATTGTGGGGATGGCGCAGCACCGGGCAGGGCTCCGCTCTGCTGTCCACGGGGTTGCTGTGAGTTGAACCCACTGGAGGGCACCTGGCACACCACTTCCACCACAGTGCGCAGGGAGGCCCTGAGTTAGCCATTTCTTCCCCCAAATGTGTCATGAGTTATGGTACAACTGGGCTGAGGCAGGGAAACACTCACTGCCATGCCTGTAAGAGTACAAAAAACCAAACCAAACTCACTGCCACCAAGGCCATCGACTCACAGCCACCCCTCCTTGGGTTCTCCAGGTGGTAACACTGTGGAAGTAGACTGCCCAACTTTCCGTCCGAGGAGTGGCTGGTGGGTTTGAACAGCCAGCCTTCAGGTTAGCAGTCAGATGCCTTAGGCACTAGCCACCAGAGTTCCCCTGCAGAGTACAAGCTGCCCATAGAAAGAGAATGGGCGGAAACCCCACCTGTCTCACGGAAGCCTGTCAGTAACAGTGAAAAAATGACATCCCAGCCAGAAAATCAGGGAAGACTCAAGCTGTGTTAGAGCCAGAGAACCCCATGGTGGGGTGTCCGAGGCAAGAGGCTGCAGGGTCACAGGTCAAAGGTCCCTTATGCTGAAAACCCGCTGCCGCGGCGTCACTGCGACTCACAGCAACCCTACGGGGCAGAGTCGAACCGCTCCACAGGGTTTCCAAGGCTGTGATTTTTACGGAAGCTGACTGCCAGGTGAGTTCGAGCCGCCGACCTTTTCCTACGCAGCCAAGCCCTTAACCACTAGCCACCAGAGGTGGGGGGAGTTACAGAGAAGACGGTATTAACTCGGCGACTTAAAGCTTAGAGTCGGTGCCCACTTCGTTTCCCCCACCACCCAAACGGGACGGCCATCTATTTAGTGCACGAGCACCGGGGGAGCGGCTGAGACCTACAGACACAAACGCGAGCGGCGCCTGCCCCTAAAGAGCCATTTAGCAGGGGAGACCCTCCACCACCGCCCCCACGGATAAAGCGGAAGATGGAGGGAAAGGCACGGGGACCCCAGGCGGCCTCACGAGGCGCGGGGAGCTCGGGGCTCAGCCGCCCACCCCGCGCCCGGGCCCGCAGGCGCCGCTCACACTGCAGGATGATCTCCTCAAACGCCTGCCTCTGCAGCCGGTCCCGGCGCCGCAGCTCCTCCGAGATGTGGCGCTTCCAGCGGGGAAAGTCGGCGGCGCGGAGGCCCGACGACATGTCGCACGCTTCCCGGGCGCCTCAGCGCCGCCGATCCAAGCCGGGGCTAGCGGCCGCAGCCCACTGCATGGGGCAAGCAGCGCACGCGGGAAGGCCGGCAGCCTCTGAGCTCAGCTCCACGCACAGGCCGCCCCTGACGCCATCCGGGACCGTCTTCCGGCTTCTATCGGAAATGCCTTTGGCGAGGGAGCGGAAGACCCGCCTCTTCAACGAAGTGTTACGCAATATGGACGCGAGCGGCACGACTCAAGTCGCTCCCTTAGTGACGCCTGCAGGAGGCCGCAAGCGTCCAAGGGGAGAGGCGGTAACTGGCAGGTGTCCCGGGCTGTTTTCCTCCCGTCTGCTTAGACTTTCTTTGCTGCTTTATTCTATTTTGTATTTCCTTTTTTATTTAAAAAAAAAAAAAAAAAAAACTTGCCTCCCTTTTCTTCATCTCCTCAGTTTACAAACATAGGTGGCGCCCAGCTTCCGCGTAGCATCTGTGTTACCATAGACAAGGGACAACCTCCCTAAACTTCCGTTTGCTAATCTTAAATTGGGAACTGTCATGGTAACTACTTGATAGAGTTGTCTTGTGGATTAGAAGGACTAACCCATGTGATGTGATTAGCACTGTGCTTGGCACGTGGTAGGTTCTTGTTCTTTTTCAAGTGCAGTTGAATCCGTTCTGACTCAGCAGAACCAAACACTGTTAGCATCCGGTGTCATCCTCAGAATGGCTGCTATATGTGAACCCATTATTGTAGCCACTGTGTCAATGCATCTCATTGAGAGTCTTCCTTTCTTTTTCACTGATTTTCTGCCAAGCATGATGTCCCGCAGGGACTGGTTCCTCCTGACAACATGTCCAAAGTATGTGGGAGAAGTCCCACCATTCTTGCTTCTAAGGTACATCCTGGCTGTACATCTTCCAAGACATTATAAACTTTACCTAAGTACTCAGTATTCTTCCAAGGCCTATGCTCTCCCTTCCCTTATCTAGGAAACAGGTTCGTTTTCCTGGGAGTGGAATGCAAACAGGAGCTAAGGAAAGATGTGGAGTCTATCAGGAGTCAGCCTTTGGCTATGTTAATCGTTACCAGTACCAGTTGCTGCCCAGTGGACTGTGGCTCATGGCGACCCTATGTGTGCCAGAATAGAACTATGCTCCTTAGGGTTTCCAATGGTTGCTTTTTTGGAAGCCAATCACCAGGTTTACTCCCAAAGTGCTTTTGGGCAGACTTGAACCTTCAATCTTTCTGTTAGCAGCCAAGTGGCTTACATATATACCCCCAGGGACTCCATGTTAATCATTAAAAACACAGAAATCACCTATGATCTAACACTAAATGAATCTTTAGAAGGTGGAGTACTAACAGAACTTTGGAAAGGGACAAGGACAGTTGGCCAGTATATGTTGGAAGAGGGAGAGAGAGGCTCCTGAGAAGATGGCATTGGCTACCAAGCTCAGTGGAAAGGAAAAGCTGGAACAGAATCATCTCAATTCCATCTGCTTTCAATAGGTGTCCACGCAGCGCCATCAAGTCGGATCTGATTCATAGCGACCCCTCCTTGGGTTTCCAAGGCAGTATCACTACGGGAGTTGATTGCCCCATCTTCCTTCCGAGGAGTGTCTGGCGGGTGTATTAGAACTTAATTCTGAAGCACTTGGATTGTGGAAGGCTACAGTATACTGTGGGAGCCCTAACTCCATTTTAAGTTCAGATGCCGTTTGAGTTCTTTCTGACCTTTAAACCAATATTGTGGCTGTTTGCCCTAAGGAAGAGTGTGGTCAAAAGTAGATTATGCTCACACATAAAGAACTAGGGAACTTGCCTGAATGTGTCCTTTTCTAATTTAAATTAAGGTTAGGGCCCTGGTATCATCTTGTAACCAACTTTTGGCTGTGACTAAGGCTGAATGATCATGAGTTGTATCTGGACCACCACCTAGAACCAATGCTGTAACTCTTTTTAATCTTCAATTTTGTATGTATCCCAATCATGGTCCTTTGTCCACTTCTGTGGTCCCACCTGTGACAGCCATGAACCAATCTGCCACCAATCATGGTTTTGTGATGCTTCCCTTTGTTATCAGTCATCTGTAATTAACCCCATGGCCATGACTCAGCAGACTCCACTCAGCTTCTGTACTTTGTACATGCTGATGGTTTCCCTCATCCTGGAGATTGTCTTTGTCCTGTCGAAGGCTTAATAAAAGGATCACTATTGAACCTGTTTGAATCTGTGATCTTTTTTCCCCAAGCACACAAGCTAGTGGATTTACTTCAAGAAAATGAACTGGACAAAGTAGGAGGCCAGACGAGAGAAAAGGAATTTCCCAAACTGCCTTCCCTTCCAATATGTCTCAAGTTCAGAAGAAGATCCTTCAGAGACAGGTAAGGAAGTCCTTCCTCTCCCATGGCACTCAGAAGGAGTACAGTCAGATCTCTAGAGATGTAGTTAAAGTTACTCCATTGACAGGCAGTAGAGTGACCTGAAGTTGTGGGAGGAACCATGGGCACTAGAGATAGAAGTGACTTCCTCCCACAGTGAAGACCATGAAGAAATAGGCTCTGGCAGTCAGCAGAATGCCGCCACATGCAACAGTGGCACCAATCCCCGAAGACTCTTGCATCATATACCATCAAGTCTTGACAGTTGAGTGTGCAGTTTCCAGACAAGATTATGGCAAAATATATTAACAAATTTTCAGAACCAGTAATTCCACTTGTAGGAATTCATGCCAAGAAATACTTGGACAAGTGTCCAAATGCAAAATAGTTTGTCACAGAATTGTTAATAATAGTAGAAAGTGGGAAACAATTTAAATTTCCAATAATAAGAGATTGGTTAGAACACTGTATATTTATTGATGAAAAGATGTTCATAATAAAAGCAGTATATAGTATAAATCCACTTTATGTAAAATAAGTATGTCTCTGGCTTCCCGCAGACACTCAACAAATATGTGTTGAATGAAAAGTATAATTTCTAAATCAAATATACTAAGCTCTACCTATGACAATGAATAAGGAAGACTGAAGAAGAGTTAATGCCTTTCAATTGTGGTATTAGTGAAGAATACTGAAAATATTACGGACTGCCAGAAGAATGAACAAATCTTTCCTGGAAGAAGTACAGCTGGAATGTTCCTTGGAATCAAGAATGGCCAGACTTTGTCTCACCTACTTTGATCGTGTTGTCAGAAGGGACCATTCCCTGGAGAAGGATATAATTCTCAGGAAAGCAGAGGGTCAGCAAAAAAGGGGAAGACCCTAAACAAGATGGATTGACTAGTGGCTGTGACCATGGGGTCAAGTATAGCAAGGATTGCAAGGAAGGCGCAGGACTGGGCAAGGTTTCGTTGTGTTGTGCATGGGGTTGCTATGAGTTGGAGCTGATTCAGAAGGAAGGTTGGACAATCTACTTCTGTAGTGATACCGCCTCAGAAATCCAAGGAGGGGTCACTATGAGTCATAATCAACTCAATGGCAGTGAGTTTGAGGTTTTTCTTTTTTTGGAACAACCACAAGTTCTGCCTGGCTTGTCCCTAACACACCATCTTTATCTAGCACATGCTCCAGAAACAGTAGGTCCCTCTATTTCCCTTCCACCAGTCACCTCCCATGGCAAAAATAAACAAACAAAAAAACCTCACTGGCGTCAAATCTATTGGACTCATAGCAACCCCTCCTTGGGTTTCCAAGGTGGTATCTCTTTGGAAGTAGATTGCCTAATCTTCCTTCTGAATAGTGGCTAGTGGGTTTGAACTGCTGGCCTACTAGTTAGCAGTCAAATGCCTTGGGCACTATGCCACCAGAGCTCCCATGGCAGGGCCTTTGGATGTGCTATGCTTCTGTGGGGTACACCCTTCCCTCTGACTTCTCCAGGTCAATGCTCAGCTCAGTAGTCACTTCCTCAGGGATGCCCACTTTGCCCTTCACAGTGCGGTCCCATCCCCCTATTTCACATGTACTTCTCCTTTATAGCTCTCACCACAGTTGCACCTGGACATGCATTTGTGTCATTACCTAAGGTCTATTCCCCCAGCCCTACCTAGACTATAAGCTCCATCAGGCAAGGTCTGTGTCTGTGTCTGTTTTTTTTTTTTTTTTTTTCTGGTTTATTTCCTCAGTAAGGGCGTGAAGGCTATCACATCCTCGGTGCTCAGCAAACGTTGTTTAAATGAGTGAAAATACTAATCACTTTATCTCTGGGCAGTGGCATTACTGGTGTGAGTTTGTTTGTTCCTTATATATCTCATATTGTCTTATGTGTATTGTTAGACTTTTATACTTTATACGTGTCTCTGGGTGGCACAAACAGTGAAGTGCTCCACTACTGGCCGAAAGGCTGGCAGTTTAAACACACCCAGAGCAGCCTGGAGAGATAGCCCTGGCAACCTGCTTCCAAAGGATCAGAGCCTTGAAAACCCTATGGGGCAGTTTTACTCACACACATGGGGTCGCCATGACTTGGGATCAACTCAACGACAATTAGCAACAACAACAACACACATGTGTTTTCTTTTTTTTTAACACCTTGTTGAATGTTTTATTGTTTTTATTCTTTATTTTTGCAGTGTTTCTTCCCCTTCTCTCCCACCCCTGGTAACAAAAAAAGAAAGTTTCCTTCCATATATAAACCTTTCCTTTCCTTTTTACAATAATGGACTAATACAATATTTGTCCTTCCGTAATTGACTTATTTCACTCAGTATAATGTCCTCCAAGTTCATGTGGTGTTTTGCAGATTCTACATTATTCTTTAGTGTTGCATAGTATTCCATGTGTTTCTTGTGCAAGACTGAGAAATTGCAGTGCAGTGAATTACTTACTATGGTCCTCCTACTCATTGTACTCCATTTTGTGATGTACTGTAAATCCTAGCCTCTATGCTTGTTTTTGGTGGCATAGTGCCTAAGGCATTTGAGTGCTAACCACAATGCTGGCACTTCAAACCCACCAGCCACTGCTTGGAAGGAAGACTGGGCAGTCTACTTCCGTAATGATATCACTTTGGAAACCCAAGGAGGGGCTGCTATGAGTCAGATTTAACTCCATGGTAGTGAGTTTGGTTTTGAGTTTGGTTTTAAGGCACTATGGTGTTGCAGTGCCTAGGCATTTGACTGCTAACTAGAAGGTTGGTGGTTCAAACCCACAGA